TAAGAGGGTAATCGATAAACGGAAAAACTTTAATAACACTTTTTTTCATCACACTTTTCTACTAAAAGCATTAGAATCACTTTTTTCTCGGATTCCTGATCATTTCTCTAATAATTATAAAGAACAAAGGAAGAAAAGAAAGGTTTTCGATGAAAGCCAATTCCGTGGTGAACCGAGTCAAGTGTATCGATATCACCCACTAAGCACTCGCATTTTACATCATGATATATACACACATGTTAGTTTTATCAGAGATAACCGCCAAAACAAAATCGTTGGATTAAAGTTCCTGATTTTTTAATATACTAAATTTGGTTAATTTATTTGTTGAAAAAAAAGTGAGGAGGTTACAAATTGACACCATCTCCACTTTTTCATTAAACAACACCGCCCAGTAATGCAAGAGACCTGAGAATTCTCGATGTATTGCATGTGCAGCCCAAGGGCAGGAATCCTGTCTCACATCATACAACGTCTTAATCAAGCATAAATATATAATTAAATAAAGTTGATCAGTGAAATTTATTAAAATTAAACACCAATAAAGTTTGTTGTCTGACAAGTGAAACACGTAATTTCCTTATTTTTTAAACAGCAAAAAAAATCGTGTGTTGTGTGTTGTGTGTGAACGTCATCATCATTCATCAAAAGCCATGTGCGATTCTCTCTAAAAAACTCAATTTTTATTAAAGCTATGTCGTGTAACGATGTCCGAATGTTTTTGACTTCTTAACGAATGACATTCCAAAATGTTCATGTTGATCGATGATCTAAGAATAGACTGATGTCAGATCTTTCTGGAAATTCGACACACATTAGGAATTAAACTTCCAAAAAAGTTTAACAAAGACCAGTTTTAATTCAGGTTTTCCCTCTTATGAAATAGAGTAATCGATTTTTAATACTAAATATTAATATACACCACAACATAAACTCGGGTAAACGCTTCACCGGTAATTCAAAATAAATCGCACGTTGTTATTTTCATTAATTAATGACCAAAATTATAATATAATGATGAATGACTCTCGGTGATAAAATGATAATTTAGAAGCTCTAAGATAGCGATCTCAAAGATTCTTTAACCACAATAAATCATAAATAAACTAAAACATTTTAACCTAGCATTCAAAAAAAGATATTCAAACACGTTTAACTGTAAATGATGATGATGATAACTACACTGTAGCATGTATAAATAATAATAATAATAATAATAATAATAATAATAATAATAATAATAATAATTAATAATAATTAATAATAATAATCATCATCATCGTCATTACCTAATAAGAAAATTAATACATTTTAATTTTCGCTTTAGAGAAAGAGGGAAAAAGTATTCCTTGTCTAGGATTTCCTTTAACCAACTATCATAACATAATTAGTATGACATATTTATCAATGTTACGTTGCATTCATCATACATGCTACTACATCGAAAGTTATTACGCGTGACACAGACAATGATTCCATATTGAATAGTATTGTAGTACTACTACTGTTCCTCTATTAAAAACCTGATTTTTTAATTGATTATGATTGGTGTTGTCTTAGCCATAGTTTCTCTTCTCTCTAACTTTATCACATAGTTCGTTGGCTGACTGTGACTGTGTATATATGTATGTGTATATTTATATTTATAATGAATTAATTAATTTATGTAAATTATTATTAAAAATTGACCCTATATTTTTATCGTCACACCTCACCTTTTTTTTTTTGTTATAATAACCCCCCACCTATTCCCTATTCTTTTCCTCCTCTTACTTCTCCTCAATAGACTTTATATATAAATTTATAAACCGTTCTTTGCTCTGTGAGCAATCAACGCAAGACTTACAATAGCAAGAACAACAACAACTGCAACAGCGACAATAAACAACAATACACAATAACTTAGTTCTTTCTTCGCATCTCTTACAGAACAAAGAAACAACTTTAAACGACGACAATAAACTGTTGAATATTTTCGCCTTTAAATTAGCAAAGAAAACTTCCACTTGTAAAATAGTAAGTTACTATTTTACCTGCATGCTTTGTATTAATAAATTCGCGCATTTGATTAAAGAGAGAAGAATAAGTGAATAACAAGGACAAGTTTATCTTCTTGCATACATGCTGTCGTAATAACATTTATCTTCCTTATTTCTTTTTGTTTTTTTTTATTTTGTTAAATTATACGTTAGCATATAATATATATATACATACATATATATATCCACAATGAATCCAATAAATGACCCCGAAATGTGCATATTTACCAAGCAAGAGCAAGAAGAGTCGCCTTGTATAGGGTCCATGCCTTCGTCACCTTCTTGCTCCGAAATATCCTTTCCTCATTCTCCTTCGGCAACCGATCCTGATTTTGCATTTTATCGCGTACCAAAAGGATTTAATGTTGTCTTAGTACCAAAACCAGATGAGTCAACGACATCAACATCATCTCCAATCGATGATTCGAACAATGCTTTATTAAATAACAACATTGATGATGACGCGTCTTCCTATTCGACAAAATCTGGTTCAAAGCCAATGGATATACCTAAATCCAATAACAATAACAATAACAATCACAATAATAATAATAAACCATCAGTCAATATCGACGCTTCTGTTCCATCGAACGACGAATATTCCTCGAATATCAATCCAAACAACCTTACGAATAATACCTCTTCACTGCCATCCTCGTCTACTTCTTCAAGACTTTCTGCTTATAGGAAGCGTAAGGCAGACAAGAACTACATTCCTCGCCCAAAGAATTGTTTCATGGCTTATCGTGAACATATCAAGGAAAAATTCTTGGTGGAGAATCCCGGCATGAATAACAAAGTTGTGTCGGTACTTGCAGCCAAGATGTGGAATAATGAACCAGAAAGCGTTAAGGAACAATGGCGTGAACGTGCAAAACAATTGAAACTCGAACACAAAATGAAATACCCTGATTATAAATTCAAACCACAGAAAAAGAAGTCGAACTTGAAAACTCCTGGTGGCACGAAAACATCGGCTAAGAACCGAAAGAAAACTCTTGATTCCGATAAGCAACACCTGTTTGCTGATGATTATCCTAACGAAATAATTTGCGGTGGTGATGATGATAATAAAATCATATATCCAATTAATATTGAAGCTGCCGATGAGCAAGACTATATGCATCATTTACAAAAGAAAGCTTTATTCGGTCATTATAGAGCATCTTCTGTTGAATCTGTCAGTTCATGGACAAGCGATTCAACCGCTTCAACTCCTCTATTGTCACCATTTACTTGTTCACCTGCGTCATATTCGCCCCCTATTTTCCCATTCGGTAATCCTAACACTAACAATCAAATGTGTCGATCTCAATCAGCATTACGATACGAAGCAGGAAACCTTTCTCATTCCCAAGAAGACGCACACAACGGTGGTAATAACATGATGTTCTCGCACCATCACTCGGCTTCTCATCAATATGAGGTTGATGAATTGAATCAAATGTACAACCAAATGGATGTAAGCGCTCGTGCGGTTATGCCAGTTGATGATGGATTTGTCCTTGATTCGACTTATGATGAATCTACATTGAGAACTGCGGCTTTACTAAATCAATCTCTTGCCCCCTGTTCTTCTTCTTCGGAAATGTCTTCTACCGATTATGATTTGATGGCGATGGGACATTTTGCTTCCCCAATTCCTGAAGAACAAGGTTTCTATGTTGATTACGACAATTCGGCTAATGATTACTCGAACTTTAATCCTTCAATTGATCCTCAAAGTAATCAACAAGTTTATTCTTCCCTTGCTGAACATTACGCGTTTGCTCTTGAAACCCCGCGACGAAATTCTCAATTGTTAGCTGAATTTCAGAATGGTCTTCGACAAAATGAGATAATGCTTCAAGGATTACTGGATTAGTCATTCTGCTTCTCAGTCATACGCAAACTTCGTCATCCATCAAGTTGTTGTCATTCTCTTATTGTTCGTATATGTTCCATTTGCAAGACAGAATATATTTTCTTGCAGATTCATAAATTCGCAAAAGTGATGTGCGGGCCGATCAAAACTCGGTCTTGGCCTTATATCAGGTCCTTGGACACTTTCAATGGTGTGAATTTTGTATAAATTTATACTTTTTTTGACCCCTAAATTTTCCAAATATATATATTTCGACTTCACTGTGTTTATAAATACTCCCAATCACACAATTTTTCCTCTCTCCCTCCCTCTCCCTCTCTCTCTCTCTATATATATATATATACATAGACACCTGCATTTTTCATAGATTAAATAAATTCATAGAGTATCCGAGATTCAACGGAAAGTCAAAGCACGTGAATGAATGATTATGGTTAGTGCTTTCAAATTCCATGGATCTTGGTTCACATAGACTGCCGCCTTTGTATATTTTTCTTTCCTTTTGTTTCCATTTTTTTTTTTAAATATAGACTGGCAGAAACAAAATCGGGTTATTAGCAATTGTTTCTAAATCTTATGCAATATGTTGGAAATAATGCTGATACTCTGTTTGTTGTAAATTTTTTCTATTACATATTTCACATTTTTTTATATTCTTTTGCATGTCTTTCCAAATGGAAGACCTTTAAAAAAACAAAAAATCATCCAAAAATATTTATTCTTCTTCATATCTATCTACCTATCTATCCAGCTTCTTATATATACCTGCATCATCATCATCATCATCATCATCATCATCATCATCATCATCATCAACATCATCTCATTATCGTAAATTAACACAAAAGATAAGCACACATCATATCATCCATACTTATCTCTAAATTATATTTATCTATACTTATCTTTAAAACCACATCACATTCAATTCCCTCAATTGTAAAAATTTCGACTTATGCTTCTATCTTCAAACAAAAAAAAACAAATTTTTCATTTTTTTTTCATTTTTTTATCCGCCTATCGGATAAAGTCATTGTATATTTATTTTGGATTATAATATCCAAAATCTAAAGAAGTGCGGGAAAAATTACTTACTCTGTGAAATGTGAGGATTGCGTATGATCATTTTTCTGCAATTCGGTATCAATCACACATTTTCCTCACCGTACACAACATAGTTACAATTGAATTTTTTATCTTAACCGCATTTGTTTTTTTCCTTCGAATTCATTGTACATTTTTTAAATTTACCTTTTGATCTATCATTACATTCCTTTTATATATATATATCTCATT